TTTATGGTCCGTTTAGTTGAAGGGATGGAAAATGTGATCGATGAAAAATAGAAATGACAGGTTTTCCATCTTCAAAGGGAAAAAAAACTATTGTCCCTTATTTTTGTTTGGTATTATAGATGGAAAGTTAGATGGATAATTTTTTTATTGTTTGGGGCATTGGAGGAAAAGAAAATTTAAAGAAACAGATTTTATGTTTAATTTACCATTATTCCCTTCAAGTAAGGCCTTGAATCTCTTCTGCAAGTGATCTAATCATGGTCATCTTTTTTTACTTGTGCAATTATATCTGATGTATTGTAGGTAAAAAAAAATGCATTTTCAAATCTGAGGTCTTCATATTAGTGGAGTTTTTAACGAGATAAACGACCTTAACAAGAGGTAAAAGAATAAAACCAAATTGGATTGCACAGGTTTATCTCACTTTCCGCCCAAAATGGAGCGGAAAATTTATGGTAGGCACAGAGTAATAGGTTTCCATCTTACTTTCCTTTCCCTCCCATTTTTTTCTCAAACCAAACACTGAAAAGTGTATCTTTCCATTCTATTTTGAACTCCCCATTTTTCATCTGCCCAGTTTTCCACCAAAACAAATAGCCTGTTAAGGACATTGGTGCCATGTCTTTTAAATTTGAGAAATTACCAAATTTAGAAAGAGCAATATTATTTGAGACCTAATTTACGATAACTTTTATGGTCTGTTTGTTTTGATGGAAAATGGGGTGGATGAAAAATGGGGAAAAGAAAATGGGGTGGATGGAAAAACTTTCCATTGTTTGGTATGGAAAAAAAGAGTGATAGAAAGAAAAATTGGAGGGAATGTTTTTCCTTCCTACCCACAATTTATTTTCCCCCCAAAAATGGGCGAAAAATGGGAAGAAGCCAACAAAATTTGACCAATAAATTTATATTTTTGCCCTTTGTTACCTTCTAATAAAACCCACTTCTCAAAACATATATTTAAATGGTAGAATTGTAAAATTGGGTATGTATGATTTTCCTTTCCTTTCATTTTTCATCTAATACAAAACGATGGAAAATATATCTCTTCTATTTTTCATCCCTCTTACTAAACAAAATGGAGGAAAAATAAATTTCTTTCCTTTATGGATGAAAAATTTATTCCTTCCACTTTTCATTCCTTCCTATTTTTCATCCTTCGTACTAAACGGACCATTAGATTGACTATGAGCTCTATACAGTGTTCAAAGGTGGACCCCTCTTAAAAATCGGAACTAATTACTTGGTTTAATATTGTGACCTCATTAGAATCATTTGGTCAATGTTAAGTTTTAATATTTAATAGAGTTCATAATCAATTTAAAAGTTACAATGAATTAAATCAATAAATTTAGATTATAAATTTAGATTATGGTACTGGAAAATTAATTTGGGCAAAATATTTTTGGAGCGCTTACGTGTCAAGATTTAGGTGGTAGAATAGAGCAATGGTGGGGGCGGAAGTGATGTAGAGCCAAAGCCAGTTGGTAAGACTTGACTAGTCAACAAGAACCAGACAACGGTTTAATGGTGGCCAATCCTGCCCAGTTCCTGGAACCTGCAATTGCCATGTCCAGGTTGGACAACTACTCCGATACCTTCCGCTCGTCACAAATTCTCCCTCTCTGACGCAGTCGCCAACGCCAACTGGGTCTTTGACATTTCTCCATCCCTCCCAATATACTCCTCTCTCTCTCCTCTCTCTTTCTCTCTCTCTCAAAATCGAAGCCACAACAATTCGGTGGGAACAATGCCGAATTGGGAGCTAAAGAATTGCTGTAAGCACGACCAGACTGTTTTTCTGGTCACCATCGGTGTCTTCTCTCTCGTGATTCTTGCGGTACGACTTTTTTCTTTTTCTTTATCTTCCTCTTTCTGCTTTTTTTTTTTTATATTTTATTTTCTGGCTTTTGAGTATTCTTTTCGCTGTTCTTTATGTGCTTGTGAGTTTTATATATCCAAAAAGGGTGCTTTACGTTAATGGGTATGTTTTAGGTCAATGAACTGGATTCCTCCTCGAATCTTGTTTAGTCTATAGTGATAATTCAATTCTTTAGGGCTTAGATTTTGAGATCACATATGGTGTTTCAGAAATTGGGAGAGAAAATTTTTTAGATATAACACAAAATAAGTACCTTGAATTTTCTGAAGCGTTACAAAGAAGAATAGCGCTGTTCATATGTCACTCATTTATTTATTTATTTGATTGCTTGTATTTTCTTGCATAGATTTACTGCTTGTGTTTTCTCATATAGAGTTTTTTCCATGTAGGGATTTCACTGGTCCGTTTAAGAAATAATGGGTCTATGATGAACTTCAAGGAAAATTAGATATTGACAATTGAGAGGGTAGTGAAAGAAAGCAAAAAAAGCTTAATTCACCACAAGAACGTAGGAATAAATTGTTGAAAGACTTGGAAAATACTTGGAACTTGAGAAGAACGCCATAGGCAAAAAAGACTTTGTTGTCTTTGTTCTTTGCAAACTATGATTTCCAAACTGTTGGCAGTTTTCTATCTATAGCGTCTGTATTGCTTTACATGTTGCGGGTTG